TAATGGGAGTTTGCGAGTATAGAAAAGCATTGTCACATAATTTAACCTTGCAACCATATAAATATAACTGAATATATTACATGCGTGTACACACACGTACACACACGTACACACGCACACAAAAGCAAATTATTAATGTTTATTCCTCAAGTGGTACCTATAATATTATATGTAATCTAGATTTTAACTGAAAATTTGGATTGTTTCTAAAAGTCCGGCATTCGCTGCTTTGTAATAACTGGCAATTCAATTGTTTTTAAAGAAATTTACCAGAACAAATATTTCGACGCATCATAAATTTAAAATTATCAAAGGCCTGTAATAATTGACTCTTCGGTATAGTATCTCGGTAATTGTTGTTAATCTTAATTGGTCATATTAAAAAACGCATTATCTGTTACTTACACAATTACGACGGACTTAATACGATTTATTTTTCAAAATATAATTTGCCTAAATGGCCTGCGCAATCTTAACCCGTAATCTAAGAATATTATCGAGTAAAGGATGAGCGTAGATATTTCTCGTGAATAATCGCGAAACAAAGAAACTCGTTCTCACATGCAAATGTTGGGATCCGGCTTGCGTCAGTGGCAGTCTTATTTCATCCGAAATCGAAATCATCGATATGGGATGCCCATTTTTCCATTTTTTTCTCTTCCCATCCATTGTGGCTGTCTCTCTATCGTCGTCGTCGTCGTCGTCGTCGTCGTCGTCGTCATCGTCGTCTCTCTCTCTGTCTCGCGGTCACTCATTCTTGTAATCTTAATCTCTTATGCTAACAATGCGCGACTTCATCAAGAGTACTACTTTATTCCTCCAATGTACATACGACGTGCATTAAATTACCGTTTATATTTATTATCGAGGAGCTTATGGTCTTAAGATTAGAGCGAAATCGTTAAAAACTGTTGCGACAAGGTTCGATATATAAAAATTACGCACAGTCCTTCGCTCATTATTTTTGGGCCACACGCCCATGACTTATTTGCCTTTTACGGGCAGTGACTAGTGGAAGTAGCAGTGACTTCCTCACGTAGTCGTCATTCCAACTATTTTTGTTTGTCCGTTTATTGTCGTACGTGCGCACAACATGTTTCTCCCCGTTCTCACCCTTGTATTTACAGTTTTAATAAAAACTCAGTAAGCGTGGAGGCACGCGCTCGCGCATAAGAAAACACTAAGCAAGAAACAATTATTGGCCTAACGATACGTCACTCGTCAAACAGATAAAATCAAATTTCCAACGAAACGGATCTTCAATGACAGGCCGGCCCTTAAATCCGACATACGACCGTCTTATTTTGTTTCTTCGGACTTTTCATCGGACATTACCAGAATAATTCGTCTTCTCGCACCACACTGACTCGAAATACATACAAACGCTCTATTGAGCATAATTAAGAAGCAGCCCCGAGAAATGGGGCAAAGGTTTGAGATTTCGATGCGACAAGTACAATAATACAATGCAATAATCAGCGAGCATTTTTTTGCACGTATATGTGACTTGTGCGCATTGGTGTGGGAAGAGTCGCTGACGCGTCTCTATGCAAGTGAAAGTGTTGCTGTCGTAGAGGCGTTTGAAAATGGAGAAAACGATTTTCGTATTATTATCCTTTTTCTCATTTGCGTCTCGGTGTTTATTATTACGCTTATCCATCTTCGTTGCGATGCTCACGTTAAATCGACATGATTCACATCGTTGTTATATATTTAGTGATTGATTTCAATACTCGCTAAATCGATATTGCAAGTCCAAATAAGCAATCTCGTATGGAAAGCAGATATTGTTTTCACAAGTGCTTAGTCTCTGAAATTTGAAAAACGACGAAGCTGTACAATTTAAACAGAATTAATTCACGTTACGTAATTTATTATTCCAAAGTATTTTTAAGTAATTTCTAATTTAATTAAATTTTCCAAACTCTCACTATCGAAGCGAAATGCATACAAGTGAAAAAAGCCATATCCCTATTTTGCAAAAAGTATGCAAATACATCCAGATTTAAAAATTGTGAAGGAAAAAAATTCGTTACATTACCACGCAATGTAGTGTTAGGCACTTGGTTTATCTACGAATTTTATGTTCCAATTATACTCTGTCTTTTCAAATAACCGTATTATTATATTATACTGCTTTTTTTCTTCTTTACTCGTGCCCGTTATTGTTATATAAAATCTGAATTCATAAAAATGGCTGAAAATACGTGGCTTTAATATTCGAAACAATTAACAATTTAACAATTTATATTCACGTTCGTATTTGAAAACCTTGTTTTTTCACTGTCATTTCGACGCTCGATTATTACGTATTTAAAAAGTAAAGGTAAAGTGTATGACAATGTGAAGTGAACGATTAGAGGGGGGGGGGGAATGCCTTTTATTCATATTTTATTTTTTAGCCCGGCGTTACAAATAGTTTTAAAAAAAAAAAAAAAAAAAAAAACCCTCGCCATAATAATATTAAAAACTCTATCATCTTGCGTGACAATAAAAAAAAAACTACATAAAATATCCGAAATTCCACGCATCAAACTTACAAGACCATAGGAAACATGCTACTGCAAATAGAAAGTAATATAAATAGAGAAGATAGTGACAAAGAGATAGTTAGGAGGGAAAAAAAAAATAAATAAAAGAAACGGATAGATAATTAAGGGGGAAAAAAACAAGAGTAGACACTTGGAAAAATATAATTACAGTTTATAGGTTAAATTAAATATACAGTTATTTTTAATGTTTAACTAAGTTTTGCTTTTTCGACGCGTAACGTATTTTTTTTTATAAAACTACTTAACCGCAATGTATTGATTTGTATTAAATAATCTATACAAAATAATTGTTATAGCGGCTTTTTTGGTTTTGTTTTTAACCATATTGTGTCGTAAGGAAATCTTTTATGATTAATTTTACATGAGACCTTCGCATGACAATTTTATTTTATATGCACAACGCACGTTACTGCACTTTTTCTCGACGACTTTAAATTATATTTACAAAAACAAAACAAACAAAAACAATATAAAACAAAAAAATGAGTAATTTTATCTGATTTTATTTACCAACTAAAATATTTATCCAAGTTTATGATGCTATTAGTATTGAATTGTATGTTTTATTATTGTTTTTGACAAAAGGGCAAAGCGTTTTTCATTTACAATGAATTTTACGAAATTATAAAGAATTTCGATCTTTATTGAGAATAAATAAAACAATACAAAATGAAATATACAAAATAAAAGATTTCTTAAGAAAGTAATTAACGTTGTTGTATTAAAAATTATTGTAAATTATTTAAATGCGACAATCGGTGAAGAGAAAATTCACATATGCACAAAATTTATTGATTGGATACAAATAAATTACAACGTTATTAAATACGCTTAATCAGCAAAATATTATTAAATACCTTGAAGATTCTGATATACTTATCATTGTGAAAAATTGTAATAACAAAAATGTTACTTTCTAAAATACATTTACACGTCTAATGATACATTTTTCATCCAGAGTGCTTCTATTATAGATAATTCGGCAGACGTAATTAAAGGAAACGATCGATATTGACATATACGCTATGCAAATAATATCGTAACAAAGGCAAACTTTGATTACGTATGCATTACTACATTTCTAACATGTTTGCAAAGACGACAGTAGCTTGTAATCACTTTTAGCTTGTACTTTTTAAAGTTTATAATTTAACAGAAAATATACGAAAATGAAAAACATATGGAACGTAGATTAATACTTCACGTTAAATGAAATGACAAATTTAGCGTTTTATCGAGCAGTAAGTTGAATAAAAAGATGAGAGACAGAAGAAGAAAAAGAAAAGTAAAACTTTCTATTGAACTGGTTGAAAAATACATAGTCGAGCATAAGTTATGACAAACAGATTAATACAAGCGTTTCCGTATCTCAGAATATTTTCATGTACTTTACCACTGATAATATGAGAACAATGACATTGAATAAATGACACGACGTTATTTCAAATGCGGCAAAACATCTCGACATTTTAACTACTTTACAAAACTCTCCTGGCGCTTTCTTCATAAAATCTAAAAGCCCAAATCCGTAGGCAAAAAGCGAGGTGAAACGTAGGGAACACTGCTTCGTTGTCTCGATTAAGTCAGCTGAGAAAGTGAACAAAGAAAATGGTTTCTTATATCCATTTATTTAGGTTAGGTATGTTATTTTAAAAATAAAAATTTTAAAGTCAAGCATTTGCGAAATCTGCAAATTCAAAATAATTCTAAACAAACGTTTCAGGAACATTTGATCAAATTAAGCTAGACAAGTTATCGCGAGCGGTCTATTTCGCCTCGATCATAACAAAAAGCCGAAGAAAATTGCTAAACAGTTACGAGGAGCGAGACACAAGACTGACTGCTCCCATAACTATTGAATATCATATTGCGCGTCTCGCCAAAACGGTCGCTAATTCAATTTCCAAAGATATTTTCCCCCTTCGTCGAGCCTGATCTAAGGACCCAAACCACCACCACCACCACCACCACCACCACCACTACCACCGCTACCACCACTACCACCACTCCCCCTCCTCCCATCAAAAACCTATATTTTCAATTTTCACGCCTTCCTCCGACACGTCTCTAACTCCCCACTTCCAGCCAGCCATCCCACCCAGTCCCTAAAGTACCGAATGTGCTGGCTCAACGGTGGGTCCCGATCACCTTGCTCGTCTAAAAATTAGCATCCCCTAATCAGCAGTAGCGAAACGGTTGACGAACCATCATCGCAAATATATTGGGCACATGCCTAAAAAGGTTATGTGCATACGACGACTGCCAGAGACCTTGGCTCGCTCCCGGCGCAAAATTGAATAATTTGATTATTTAAACGAGCAGCAGCGCCGGCGATTACCAAGCGATCCTCCCCGGCAACGCCGACGTCAACGACGACGACGTCAACGACGACGACGACGACGACGACGACGACGACGACGACGACGACGACGACAAAATCGTCCTTACCTCTATCCCTGCGTTCGATATACTCAGCGGCCTGCAGAAGGGCAGCAATGCTCATATTTCCCCAGTTTGGCTTGTTCCCCCGCTGTTCCCACCACCGACTCTTCGTTTCCGTGTATCCTCTCGTTGTCGTCCTCGTCGTTGTCGGCGTTGACGTCGTTGTTCTCGTCAACGATGAATCGCGCTAATCACCAGATACAAACACTTCGGCCGCCCTCGGCGTTTTTTTTTTTTCAACAACAACAACAACAACAACAACAACAACAACAACAACAATTAACCACAACAAAGCACTTAATCAGTCTGCTGCGATCTTTACGTAGAGTCGTTACGACAATCCCGGGGCCGTGCCGCAGGCTTTTCCTCGTATCTTTTATTCCCTGCTTCGATGCATATGCATACATACATACATATGCATATATATATATATATATATATATATATATATATATATATATATGTGTGTGTGTGTGTGTGTGTGCGCGCGC